GGAAGGAGGGAAGGAGGGAGGGAGGGAGGGAGGGAGGGAAGGAAGGAAGGAAGGAAGGAAGGAAGGAAGGAAGGAAGGAAGGAAGGAGCCTATCCCAATACCCTTTCAGTGGCTCACCCCATGAGACTAGATTTCCAGTGGGGCTTGTACACTTCCCACCACATCCTGGGAATAAGCCCCAGGTCAGGAACCTAGGCTTCAACACAGGGGCTTTGAGGGTTCTCAGATCCCAAACATGCTTTAAATCTGAGATTTTTTGCTCTCACAGACAAGATTTAGATGTATTATACAAAGGAAACTGTTACTCATAATGTTCAATACAGAGATACAGGGCAAGGCTTACATTAGGAGCACAGGAAGCTCATTGCTGGTTAGGGAAGGAAGGCAGTAGATAGGTAGATGGGACAGGGTGGAAGTTCTGTGTGACTGTTTCCAATTGTTCAGTCAATACTTAAGGCCCCAAGGTAAGAGTTCCATGTGCATTGCTCTGTCCTCTCTCTTTAATACATTATCACAGTCTTGAGGGCAAAAGTTCCCAACAGATGAACCTCAGTGGGGTGGCCAGTCAGCAGCAGACCAGGCTGCACAGAGACTAAGCAGACACTGGTTAGAATACATAGAGGATTGAGGATAGAATGCACTGTTTGAGAAAGGCACAGGATTTCTCACTAAACAACCAGGGGTGTTGCCTAAGTCATTCATCTTTTTCCACTACAACCTTCTCAAACTTTAAAAAGTGCAATGAACTCATTTGGTTAAAAGAGAAGATCAGGGGCTGGAGAGATGGCTCAGTGGTCTAAAGCACCTACTTAGAACAAGCTTGGCAAAGCACAGGGACTGCGGTTCAATCCCCCAGCATCACATGCCAGCCAGCCCCGCCCCCAGGTGGGCTGAGCTGGCCACACACACACACACACACACACACACACACACACACACACAATAAATAAATGTAAAAAAAAATCAAATTAAATTAAAAAATAAAAGAGAAGATAAAAAAGGCCTTGCATTCTTTTTAAAGCCACAAGTTTCATATATTAGCTTTAGTCTATAAAGAATGATCATAGTGTTGATTAGAAAACATTTAGTGGGGCTGCACAGGATGCCCTGGACAGGTTTTCCTCTATCATGTTTCTGTTATCCTTCAGGCAATTCCCTTGTCTGATGCTCTGACAATCTTTCACCCTTCCTTAATCCAAGGTAAAGAAGATCTACCTGGATGAGAAGAGGCTTTTAGCTGGGGACCACCCCATTGAACTTCTCTTAAGGGACTTTAAGAAAAACTACCATATGTATGTCTACCCTGTACACTGGCAGTTCAATGAACTTGACCGGCACCCTATGGACAGGTAAAAACTCTACCTCCCCATTAGCAGGTCTCTCTCTGATATAATATCTATGAAAGAAAAAGTGGAAATAAAATTAGGAAGATTTGCAGTTCTATTTTAGAACAATGAAATGCCAAATAACCATGGTTAAGAGTCTAAACACAAAATTTTGAAAACACAATATGGCTACACCATAGCTGCCAGTTTTACATATGAAGGGCCAACTTCCCATACAGACTCTTTCAACTTTTCATTCTTAATCCCAAAGGTCTAAGATATGCTGATGACCAACCATGGGTCAGGTACCTACATCAGGAATAGCCAAGTGTCACCAGTGGGTAAGGACCAGGTTGCACAAGCATTATTGCTGAGTGTACCCCTACAGATTTAGGGTGGAGGGGGCACAGTTTCCAGTGGAGACAGAAACCTAGGGAACTGATATCCCAAAACATATTACTCTTACCCACAAAATGTTTCATTTACAGTTCTTATTCTGTGTATTTGTATATCTGGCATACACAGCAACTTTGGAGAGGAAGAGACCTGTTCTTGGTGACCCTAAGATACAAATCTTCATACCCAAGCTACTCTGGTAACAAACAGGCTGGCATTTACTTCCCTGCAGGGTCCTGACACATTCCGAGCTTGCTCCTCTGCGCGCTTCTCTGGTGCCCATGGAGCACTGCATCACCCGCTTCTTTGAGGAGTGTGACCCTAACAAGGACAAGCACATCACCTTGAAGGAGTGGGGCCACTGCTTTGGAATTAAAGAAGGTAAGTTCATCTTCAGCTAAAAGTCAGCAGTATTTTCTTCCTCAAATGAACCCCAAGCCCTGCGGGCCTAAGAATGCAATCCCACTGTGTTCTAGTACAGACCTAGAGGCACTTGAGGTACAGTGTCCACAACAGGACTGCCCTGTGCACAGGCTGTCACTGCAAAGTCACTCTGCCTTCAGAGGACAGCAAGGGGAACCTGCACAAAGGCTCAGCAGCCAGCTAAGCATAAGAAAGCAATACAAGTGAGAGAGCTGTGCAAAGTGAAAGCTGGTAATTTCTGGTGTTACTCAGAAAGCTTTGTCCTCTTTCTTAACTTTACATCCCTCTTCAACCCAAGTATTAGTCAAACTTTTAAAAGGCACATATGAAAAGACAAATAGCAAGCCTGCTTCTAACAATGGGAGATATCAGAAGCATCAGGGAAGTCATTGCCATCCCACTAAAGATGGGATCTTACACCACAAGTTGCATCCAGATACTAATCCATAAACCAAAACAGACCCATGGCTGAATCTTCAGTAATTTGGGGTAGGCTGGAGTAATGGAGAACTTAAATTCAAACATTTTTTATACTGAATTTTATGAGAAAGCATGTTTTCAGTAATCAAATAATGAAATGTGTCTAAAAGCAAGCTTTAAAACTGCTCACAGAATATAAATAACAGTGAATATCAAAATGCCAAAACAGAGGTTTTATGTCTACCCCTAACCAACTATGAAAGTAAAGAAAGTTAATGTTGAGAGACAGTAGGCAAAAAAAAAGGAAGGAAGGAAGGAAGGAAGGAA